AGAATTCTTTTTTGTTTTTAATATCCATTCTCATTCATTTAGATAAATGTTTCTTGATATATCAACAACTTATGAGTGATCTGTTTATTGATTGAACATAGGGCATCCCCATATCGATGTTCTAGGCTTTGGAATAGAAAGAGTGCACAGTAGAGGCTTCAGATGCTCAGATGTGTTTTTACTTGGTCAAATGCAGGTGATCATTTAACCAGCGTGTTTTATATTAATTTATTTAGTGAGATGATTATTTACACCTGGATAATTGCCAAGCAAGTGCTAAGCCCCTGACATACCTTGGCTTTGATTCATACAGTGACCCTTCATGTGGAGTGTTGCAGTCCTAAAACAAAAACCAGGCCATTCGATAACTTGACTCAGTTCATCTAGCCAGCAGGTGGAAGTGTTGAGCCATGTATACGTGCACCTCAGTACTGCATGTATGTGATGCACACACACCTACATACACACCACACATGTGAAACTGTTGGTTATCTTCCACCTCTCTACTCATCTGTTTGTCTTTTAGTGGAAAGCCCAGGGAAAGAATGTTGGATCCCCCATGGTTTTAAAACCACGATAAATTTCATTTCACTTCAATTATCCAGTCTTCATAAATACCTAAATGAAATGACTCACTCCAACCCCTACAACACATTCTTCTTTGGCTGTGACAATGGAAATAATGTACACAATAAAAGAGTGTCTGAAAAAATCTATAAATGTGCATTGACGTGGTTTCATGGGGTTCGACACCAACAAATTGGGGAACAGAAACCCTGTGGCTGGCTGTGAAGCCCAGCATGGCTCTATCTGTGCTTTTTAGGTTCTAATCATCTTACACTTGATACATGTATGCTTCATCATTTTGATTAAGTGAGGTTCTATTAAATACCAATAATCCAAAGGTACACCAAGAGCCAATCAAGAACCAATATCAATAGCCGAAATCTATTGTGATCCGACTAGGTATCAGTCCCTTTGATCTTAAAGTCTGGCAAAGCAGGTCGTCAGTGCCCCGTTCTCATACAGGATGGCAGAGCATGCTTGACATTGATAGTTCAGTCCAGGGCAGAGCTATACCTGTGTGCGCACTGTGCCAAGTCATTTTTAGCTTTCTTTTGACACGTGTCTTACAGAGTGGATTTTTGAAGTGCAAAATAATTTTATGATGGATTTTTGGTTCTAGTAAGATTTTTGTAGAGTTGGGAACTTAGAATTCTTTTTTGTTTTTAATATCCATTCTCATTCATTTAGATAAATGTTTCTTGATACATCAACAACTTATGAGTGATCTGTTCATTGATTGAACATAGGGCACCCCCATATTGATGTTCTAGGCTTTGGAATAGAAAGAGTGTACAGTAGAGGCTTCAGATGCTCAGAATGTGTTTTTACTTGGTCAAAATCTCAAAATTTTTATCCTTCATCTAATCTCTCATGTTTATTTATAATGTAGCTTCTCAGTACTCCCATCTGCATGGTCATTACTCTAAGTGAAGATGTAAAATAAAAATTTTATTTCATGATTCATAATTCTTATTAACCTGGCATATTTTATATGGCACTCTCATCTGTATCTCAACTTGTTTTACAAACATGAGGAAAATCATCTTCTCCATGCATATATTTCTATATAAGCTGGCATAGACCCATGGCTGCTTTTATTCTGAACTAGCCCCATGCCTTCTGTTCATCTGTGGCTCTGGTGATGCTAAGTTGTAAAGGCTCTCTGAGATCTGCTTTCGTGAGCCTATGTCTGCGGTAGACAAGGAGGCAAGCCTGATTTATGACTTGTTCAGTTCGTTCAGGAGTGACAGATACTAGTTTGTAGTGAATTGCCTTTTAAGAAGACACAGAACTAAATAATGGGAGGAAAACAATATGCATCTTCTTATCCTGCCTGACGAGATCCAAACACCTCCTTCCTCCAGATTTATATCTATAAATACAAGAGATGTTTGACTGCTTAACCTTTATTCCTGCTTTTTCACTGTCCTTGGAAGAGGAATTAGGATGCTGGCTGAATTTCAAGAGGCTCTGCCTTCCAAGAAATGGAACTTCCTGATTTAATAGCAGGTCACACTGTCAGGGGCCTGTGGTCAACCCAAAGAATCCCTGAGGGGCAGCTGAATGTGCTTCCAAATGTAGTTCAGCTCCCCAGCTGACCTGACCTGTGTTGTGATGAATTAGAGAATAGCGTACACTATACACTGAGCACAACTTCTCTGTGTTCTAAAACAAGAAGCAAGACAAAACGAATTTGGGCATTTCTATCTGACATGCACAATGGTCACCTTATAAAATTGGCTTGAGGACTTGGAGAGAGGGAGGCTTGCTATGGAAAGAGGCAACTGTGGGCCACACCCTCTTCCATTCCTTAGTATTCCCTTTATCTGAGACATCTGCATGGGAGTCAGTTTAGTGGAGTGGACAATGAACATGAACAGCCCCTAAGGGTCACTTGCTGACAGGGCAATAGAGACACCATGCGAAAACCAGCTCTGGTCCTGACCAAATATTTCCCAGCCATATTCTTATTTAATAAGCCCTTGAATTGTTGACCTCTTCTTTCTACCTTTTCTTTTTTGTTTCATCCCTAATATCCCTGGTAGCTGGTCTTTTATCTTCCCTGTAATTCATCATGCATGTCCAGAAGTCCAATCCTACCCTTAAACATAGGAAGCATGGCAGATTGTTTCTTTCAGACGAGTATTTTCCCAGTGCAGCATGATGGTACATGAATAGGCTCTGGGCTCAGACCCTCTCGATTCAGACATCCCTACTCCCTCCCAGCCCAGTAGCTAGTGGTGTGAACTTGGGTGAGCTGTTAAACCTCTGGGCTTCAGTGTGCTCAGTTACGCACTGGGAAGAACACAGCACTGCCTCTGACTCTTGTGGGTTTGGTGAGCACAGGAATGTAAAAGACCAAGCTCAGCATGGCTCAGCAGAATCCACCAACACTTTTTATCACTCACAGACCAGCTGGAAGAAACCACGACAGGTCATGGTGGTTTTCCTGCTTATGACTTCTTAGATAACGAAGTATTCATCACTCCCATTTTGTGTTGCTTGTCTCCATGTTACCAGCAGAAGTGGGTACTGGTGAGGGTTTTGATAGATCTGGGTGCACTCTGCCTCATGCACCAGTGCTGGTGACAGCTCCAGGTCACACAGACCCTGCCCCCAAGGTCATTTTTATGTTCCCCATTTTAGATGGTTTGTTGTTGTTATTGTTGATGATGATGATGACTTTTTCGTTTTAATAAAGTGCTGGAACTATAATCTGGCTTTGCATCCCTAGGTTTAGGACCTATTCTGAAATGATTCAGCCTCCCCTTTCAAAATTATACATACAAGTGATTATTTTCCTTAGACATGAAATATAGGTTTGGTTTTGGGGTCTGCTTTTGTGAGTAATTATCTTGGAGACTCATAGGGAATATGGAATCAAAACCTTCCAATACTTTCCTTATAGTAAAAAAAAAAAATCAGATATGTAACCTGTTATATTTGTGAGCATCTCTCCAGGATCCTAAATTATACAGTAATAATAATGAATATGATATTCTTCTCATATGTTTTAATGCAGTTCTGGATTTTGTTTTTGTTTTGTTTTGGTTTGGTTTTTTTGGAACTTGGAGTTGAACTCAGGGATCTTTTATCACTAAGCCACATCCTCCAATCCTTTTTATTTATTTATTTTTCTTGAATTTTGAGACATCTAAATAGCTGAGCCTGGACTTGAACTTCTGATCTTCCTGCCTCAGCCTCCTAAGGCACTGGAATTATAGGCACGTACCAACTGCCTAGTGTGTTTTTTTTTTTTTAAACTGCCTATTTCAGGATAAAGTAATAGTGATTTAAGAATTTTTTTGACAGCTTATAAATTAAATTAATTCTCATTAAAAATCTCTGTATATGATTTAATGTACTTAGGAACAGTGTAACAACATGAAGGGAACTGCACAGCCATAGGAATCATTTAGAATGCTTTACAATTTTAAAATGTGCAGTCATATGACATTGAAGATATATACATTGTTAGCTAGCTAGCCAGATAGATAGATGGATAGACTGTTTGGAAATTGGCAACAATCTTGATGAATAAAATAGAAGAGGATTCAGTCAGTGTCAACTCCTCCGTGCCAGTGTTTGAAGTCCCTGTCTGTGTTTCAGGTCTGCCTTAAATGGTAATGTCTTGTCTTGCAGCCAGACATATTTCTAGTTTTCCTGCCAATAGCCTGTTTATTGGCGCAGTACAGTTGTATCTGGTAAGGTGCAAGGTCAATGGAATTGCTCCTACAAACTATCCCTGAAAATGTGCCCTTGTGGATATAGCTGTTGTCTGTATATTTCATTAATTTTGAACACCAAAGGTTATTGCCATAATTACACTAATTGTACTATAAAATTCGGACACTTGCTGAATGAATGAGAGAAACGAATGAGAATCAAACCTGATTATGACAGTTTTTAAAGATACATATTGGGACATATCAGTGTCTATAGGGTATCCATCACCTCTTTTTCCTCTTCTTCTTAAACAGGAAGTTAGAAAGAGAATACTTTCAATGTAATATGTGAGATTCAGTTGGTAATCTGTATTTCATAATTCCTAATGAGCTTGGTGATTAAGTAAAAGCTTTGTTGTAATTTTGTCAATTCTCAATCCCCTTATTTAAGCCTTTTATGAGACTGGAGAGCTTGCAGACAATGGCTTCCTCTCAACACCTTTGTCTCCTCCCAGTGGTTCCACCAGTGACCAGGAATAGGAAAACAAGGCTTCAGCCTCATAGTGACACTGTCACCATAGTAACGGGAATTGCTGAAGCTAATTCAGGGCACTAACCTTACAGTTTGAGTTTTTGTTTCACTTTTCACCAATGGAAAATATTGTAAGGTCTTTACTAAAAGCAGATAAAATATGTTGAAGTCATACACATGGATATAAAGTCAGAGCATTTTTTTTTGTGCTGCAAAAACAATTGAAGATTCCTATATTCTGAATCAAATTTCACCTTTTTAATCTTATTTGCTCTCTGTTTCCAAAGTTGGTGTAAGACTTTTCAAGCAAAGAAATAGACATGGCTTTAATTTGTTCTGCAAATCTCCCCTGGCCTTTTGATGGCATTGATGTCATGCTAGCTCGGGCACGGGTCCGGCTCAGGGTGCTGCAGTGTGGAAGCATGGTATGGATGGCCCGTCATTTGGAACCTGGGCATGAGCCTGAGTGTCCCAGTAGCACAGACCATTAAGCTGCTCGCAGGGCTTTCCATTTGTCCTGTAAGGTCCAGGTGTTGTCTGAGCAGAAGCCTGTCTCCTTGGGAGAAATACGGAGCAGGCCAAGATAAAATCAGGAATGACACATGGATGTTGAGATTTTTCTTCTTTCCTGTCGTTCTCAGAACCAAACTTTGTGTCCTCCTATGACATCGGAAATTTCACCTACTTCTTCTTCCGAGAAAATGCCGTGGAGCATGACTGTGGGAAGACCGTGTTCTCCAGAGCCGCTCGCGTCTGCAAGAACGACATTGGGGGGCGGTTCCTGCTGGAGGACACCTGGACCACCTTCATGAAGGCTCGCCTCAACTGCTCCCGGCCCGGGGAGGTGCCCTTCTACTACAACGAGCTGCAAAGCACTTTCTTCCTGCCGGAGCTGGACCTCATCTACGGCATCTTCACCACCAACGTGTACGTAGCTGGAAAGAGCATCTTTTTCTCCTCTTTTACTCATTCTGAATGAGGCTTTTGTTCCTTGACCTCTGAGGATTTAAAGTTGCCTCAAAGGTAGTCTTTTTTATTTTACTGGGCTAATAGCCAAAAAAAAAAAAGTATGAAAAGAGACTTTTCACTCTGAATTAAGTGTTAGGCAGAGACATGTACTGTGTGAAACTGGCATTAGGAAAAATATACATAAATCTAAAAAGTTTTGATCTGTCTTTGGGTAACAGAAATATCAAATTATCTATGATAGATTGTTCTTTTCTGATTTGTGAGTATGTCCTGGGCACTTTGGGGAATACAGGTACATATTAGGTTCTTTTTCCATTCACACAAGTCATGCATTTGTGCATAATGAAAGCCATCTTGTTGGGGAAATCTGATCTTTAAGATAACATAATTCTTGCCTGAACCCTGACTTATGTATGAAACTCACATTCTGACTTCCCCATAGTTGCACTTAAACCATTGCTATAGAAGATGGCTAACTTGGGCAACTATTTCTTAAATGAAAATTATACTTTAAAAATGTTCCTGAAAATATAGCACTGACTTTTCTGTTGGGAATATCCCTACCATCAGGACAGACAGTATTTGGATAGCTGGGCAAAGCATTTGAAGTTTCCCAAGCACTCATTTCCTTTCATTCTGGTAGAGTGGTGCCCAGTTCCTTAGTGCTCTATGGCTCTGGGTGGTGTGATAAGACCTAATAAGAGCGCATGGGACTGGAAGCGACCTTCCCTCAACATTGGCAGAGCTGTGCTTGCCTTGCATCTGGATCACCTTTGTAGTCTCTCATCTGGATACCTAACAACTTTGAGAAAAGTCAAGTATTTGTGTCCAGAGCAAAGAATCCAAATCTGAAAGGGTAAACACTGCTGAGAGATGAGGTGGGTGACCCATACCCCAGCTTGCCTGTGCTTAGCCTGGTTTGGGTGTTGATGACTACCTTGCATCCTGGGGAACATTAGTCCTGGGCAAACCAGGCAGTAGATGAATGCATGAAGCTTGCTCAGCTCCCTGCATATTTTTATTTTATTTTTTATCTCTGGCATCAGAAGTGTGCCCATGAATTATATTTCTTGAGTCATTTACTTTATCTGTCCCTTTATTCCTCATTAGCCTTTTCCTCCTGCCCTTTCTCCTGGTAAGTGTTCAGATTCACTGGATTGAAATGTTACTCCACATTCTCCTTTCTTAGATGTTAGAAAAGCAGGTGGTGCGGATGACCTCACCCCGGCCCCCTCCACCACTGGCTGTCCTTATTGTTACAAATCTGCTTTCCAAGCCCAGATGTTATTTTCTACCCCTGGAGAAGTTTCTTTAAAAAAAAAAAATCAATTTATGGTTTCTGAAGTTGATTTGCTTTCCAAAACCTTGTTTAAAGAGTAGTATAGGCTGCACAAGATAAATGTTCTGTTGCTCAGTTGACATCAATTTTACACACAATGGGGGCTTGGCTTCCTTAGCTGTTGATTCCCGTGGCTCTGAGCAAAAAAAAAAAAAAAAAAAAAAATGACCACAACAAAAACACCAATTTCAAAAGTTACAAAAGTCCTCTGCCCGAACTATTCCAAGGTAGTGAATAGTCCATTCAGAGAGTCGCAGAAATGTTTCAGATTACTGTAGGGAGGTTCTCAGTGCTTTAGTGCAGCCATGACAGAAGTACTCAACATATGCCTACCTCCTCTTTCTCTCTGGAATCTATTCCCACTGATTCTTTCTGATACGTCCATCTCTAATCCCAGGATGCATCCCACCAGTCCTTCCTTTATGGCTCAGCCTTGATTTGACCCTTTCAACAGATGAGTGCTTTTGTGAGAAGTCTGGCTTCAAACTGAAAGAAAATGAGGTTCAGGTAGCTGGCAATTTCCCATCTCCGAATTACAGGTTAGAAGTTGGTAGATTGAAGTTGCAGTTTGCCTCCACACTTTTCAGGGTTTCTCACCTGGGGGAAGGACCTATTCTGGCTCATTTCTGTCTCTAGGACTGTGAGATTTTCCTAAACTACTTGGTTAAGAGTTGAGCTGCAAGAAACCAGTTTGCTGCTGCAATAGAATTTTTTTTTTTTTAAAGAGAGAGAGAGAGAGAATTTTTTTAATAAAAATTTATTTTTCAGTTTTTCGGCAGACACAACATCTTTGTTGTATGTGGTGCTGAGGATGGAACCTGGGCCACACGCATGCCAGGCAAGCGCGCTACCACTTGAGCCACATCCCCAGCCCCATGCGATAGAATTTTTAAAGGTGTTACCTCTTATTCTGGATTTCTATAAATGAAGGCCCAGCGTTCTAGCTGTATGTAGTGTAGAGAATAGGACAGAGCGTAGTTTAGTGCACATGGATATCTAGACAGTAAAGCTGGTGCTGCTAGGAAAAAGTTTTGTTTTTTTTCCCTTCTAAGAAGAATAAGAACTAGGAGGATTATTTCTTTGTTACTTCACTTTCTACCAGTAACTTTAGGTAATCTTGAAATAGAAAAAAAAACTTCAAGTTCCCCCATTTCTGGGCTCACTTAAGTGAGTCTTCTGCCATTTTAATCCACTTGGGGCACAAACAAGAAATAAACAGCATTAAATGAGGACAGATGATTACCTTGATTACTGAGAGAAGCTGGGTTGGAGCATATGGCTGCAGGTATCTCAACCAGATGGACTTACTGATACTGAGCCCAGCTTTAAGCAGATACATTCACAAGGTCACTGGAGTCTATCCCTAGGCTGGCCTCTTGCTTCCAGGAGACCCTGGAGAAGGTGTGTATGTGCTTCTGCAGGTCTGCCCACCCACAGAGCAAAGCAAGTGAAGTGCCAGGGGCAGGGGACGCGGCACCACTGATGCTTTCTCCTTGCCAGGAGTTGGGAAGAAATGTCCTCCCAACACAGTGAGTGACACTGACCAGCAGCTACTGGGACATCCAGGGGAGGCTCTGGGCTGAGACCAGAGCCCAGGCCAGCCCCATTCTGAGTGGGAGAAGGGAGTGATCCCAGGTGTGGTTCAAATAGGGAGAGGGTAAGGAAGGTAGTGTGGCAGTGGGATCCCCGCGTGGACTCAGGGACCCGTGCAAGGCACATGCAATCCTAATGCTGTAGCCTGTGCTGAGGGCTGGCCGTGAAGCGCCCTCTGTGCTGCTGTTTATGCATCTGAAAAGTGGGGTTGTTCTCAGGATTTGTGGACTCTTCCAGAAACGCAGTGATCCTTGTCAGAGGTTAGCAGAAGGCTCAGGGTGATATTCTAATTAGTGACAGCCCCATCCCCTTCCTGGTCTCATTTCTAAAGATGACAAATAAACACAAATACCCACCCGGCCAGGTCTCCAGAGCCAGACTGCAGGGTTCAAGTGTCACCCGCTTCCTAGACTGTGGCCTAGTGTCATGTCCTCACTATGACTGCCTCAGTGCCCTTGTCTGAGACCTTCTTACCTCATAAAGATCATCTGGCCTGGCAGGAGTAAATCCCACAGGGAGGCACTAGCACCTGTCCAGGGTCTGTCAATAAACAAATATACGGCAGGAATTTTGGTCCTGGAGTTTCTGGGACTTTGCCTTTGATGTGACTAAACAGTGGCTATAAGTAGGCAAGATATTGATCTCGAGCATTAATATGGAAAATAAGTTCACGTTCCGTTCCTCTTTCCTCTTTCCACTTCCCCTCTGAAAACCAGAGCTGAGCTTAACATGCAAATTTAACCAAAAATATTGAGCTGTTTCTATGCTTAGTCAAAGGACCGGGACCTTCTAAATCCTCCCATTTACGACTTTCTCTGCAGAGCCTGAATTCTCAGTTAAGGCTTTAAGATTTCATATGGCGGGGCCGTGGTAGATTTTTCTCTCTGACCCTTCAAATTTACAATCCTTTCTAAATTAAAAAAAAAAAAGAATATGAAGGGTCTGTCAGGCATTCTTTGCAAAACACTTCCAGTTTATTATTTCTAAAGGATGACAAATAAACACAAATACCAGGGGATTTAGAAGAAAAGGTCTTGACCCACTGCCAGCTAAAGTGGTGAGTGGGGGAGAGGCCCACCAGGTGATGGGAGCCTGCAGCCACCACAGGCGATGGCCACATTCTTCCAGAATTTGAAAGGCAAAACACACAGCCCTTAAGGATCCCTTGTTGTCCCTTCTGGCTGAATGACTTAATCCAGCTGGCAGGATCACACATGTCATATCTGGTAAAGAGTCTTGTTTCAATACCTAGATGGCTTTTTGCTCAAAGAGAAATCCCAGGGAAGCCCCACTCACTGCTCTGACTTGGTCTTGGGGAGGTTTAGGAAACCGGTCTTCTTGCATCTGAGGCTGCCTCCTCGTCACTGCCGCTTCTCCGTGGCTGGTGGAGGGCCTCTGTCACTGCTGGGCCCTCTGACTGTCTTTGTTTTCTCCCTTGGCTTTGCAGGAACAGCATTGCGGCCTCGGCTGTGTGCGTCTTCAACCTCAGCGCCATCTCCCAGGCCTTCAACGGGCCCTTCAAGTACCAGGAGAACTCGCGCTCGGCCTGGCTGCCGTATCCCAACCCCAACCCCAACTTCCAGGTAATTCCAGGGCAGAGGGCCTCTCTGGGCCTGTCCCGTGAAGAACACAGAAACCTCCCGCAGACAGGCTGGGCCAGCGTCCTCCTTGGTGCACACACAGGGGAGCTGCCATCTCCCTGTCTCTTCAAGGGCAGTCCCACGCTCGGCTTTGCTCATGCCAATGAGCCTTTGTCAACGGTGGCGCCTGGGACCAAAAAAAGGGCCTTTTGTCAGCTGAGAGGCCTGATGCTGAACTGAAAAAGGCCAGCATCCTGTAGGGTGTTAGGAGCCTGGGCTCCAATTAGTGCTAACGATGATGGACTCTGTGTCCCCGAATCTCTGATCCCTGATGAATGGCGTCTGATGAATAGGGTCCAGGGCACAAAGGGATGGAGACACACAAACAGAGCTCTAATTGGCAAATATGGCGAGATTTCCTGTTGGGGAAGGCAGAACAAGCCTGTGGCAGCTGGGAGGGGAGAAGCAGAGCTGAAGGTCATCCATCTTTCAGTCCCAACATTACAGGATGTCCAGCTGCAAGGGCTTTGTCAGCCCGGCCGTCTCCCAGTGTTGAGAAGAAGCTGAGACCCAAAGAGAGGAGGTGATTTATGAGGTTTGCTCAGCCAGCAGGTCTGTGAGTTTGCTTGGGCTGCTGTAATAAAATGCCACAGATCACAGATCGGGGGCTTGAAAAAGAGCCTTTAATTTTCTCCTAGTTCTGGAGGCTAGCAATCCAAGATTCAGTGGAGACAGGTGACTGTCTGGTGAGGGCTGGTTCCCTTTCTTGAAAGTGTCCATCTTCTCGTCGGTCCCCCTATGAAGGGAGAGACATATTTGGTTTCTCTTTCTTTTTTATAAGGCCACCCGTTCCACCAGGTTAGAGGTCCTCCCTCATGACCTCATTGAACGCTAATCACTTCCTTCGAGGTCCTGCCCCACAGATAGCCATGCAAAGCCCAGAGGTTTAGTTCCTACTTGCAGGATTCCCTTTTTACTGCCAATGGCTCTCCTGTGGTCATCGTCACTGTCACTGTGGGTCTGAGTTGTAGCACCACCAAGTTCTGCCCGCTGTGCTGGATCCTCCAGGGACCTCAGGTTGCATGCTGGCAGCTGTGCCCTGCTGGGTGAGACTCCCCCACACAAAGGGCAGGAGGTGGAGCCCAGGCCAGATGATCCACCACGACCACTGCTGATTTAGAATCCCAACCATTCTCAATTGCAAAGTCTCAAACGATTCCAATTAAATGACCGTAACATCACTAATAAAACATAAACCTTTTGGCTCCTTAGAAAATGAGGGTGATGGAAAGGTTCAATTATTTTAGACTTTACTTGTATTTTGTAAGCATCACTTGATTATAATTATTTTGAGTTTTTGTGTTTGTGTTTTTTTTTTCAAATTTTGAAAGAATATGGAATTGGAAATAAGATGACTAATTTACATGTCATCTTTGCCTTTTACTGCCTTCCTTGGACAAATTATTTAGCATCTTCTTTTTTTATATTTTCACCAAGAAAATTGGAAAGGAGGGATACAAATGCATAGGAATATTTTAGGAATAAACTTCAATAATGTCAATATATGTTTTTACTGTAAAATATATTTGTAAAGGTGACTCTTAGGGACAATGTATTTGCTGCTTTCTGGCCTCATATGTTGGGTAAATATATACTTCATTATTTCTTTTCTACAGAAGAGAAAATACACCATTCTTTTGTAAAATCCTGAAGGTTGAAAATTAACAAAGATAATAAATTTTGTAACCCTGTACCACCTCCAGGCAATGGATAACGTTCAGCCTCCTCATTTGGATATATTTGTAGCATACCACAGGTGCCCTCATTTCCTCAGGCCACCCGGGCCTGGTTTTATAGTGCTAGTGTCACGGGTGGCAGGCTTGCTCTCATTCACAGGAAGGGAGTTGGCCCTGCAATGAATGGAGCATGCAGAGAGGTGTAGGCATTTCAGGAAGGAGACCTGCTTAGCTGAGCTTGTCTTCTTTAGGTAGAACTTAAAACTTCCAGGGAGGGTCTGGGGCTGTAGCTCAGTGGTTGAGAACTCACCTAGCCTTGGACATGGGTTCAATTCCCAGCATGGCAAAAAAATAAAGAATAAAAACTAAGTAAATGAAACTTGCAGGGAACAGAAGTTACAGATTATGATGACTCTCTGTGTAACCCCTAGCACCAAAAATTGCTTTGTTCTTGTTACTGTATCTGAGAGCTACCCTGGCCTAGGCATCCTGACACCATCAACAAAGTCCTCTGGACTTCCATAGAGGGGGGAATTAGTTTTAGACTAAGGCTCACTCCACCAGCTATGTATAAAAGTCCTAATGTTTGCAGTAACCAACAAGGTGAAGTGGGTAGATTTTTTATACTTGTTTTTCTGCTGACATTTGGAATTTTATATAGCACTTACATGACAGAAGTAGCCAATTAGCATAGCAGGTTGAGGAAGAAAAATGGTTTGGGAGGGCCAGTATATAATATTTCAAAATTTAGTATAGAAATCTCAATTGGAAACATTAATAAGACAACAAAAGCTATTGATTATCTTTCTCAGTTGCAATCTAGAGGGTACCCTGGGTGTTCTTTAACTGTCTGCCTCATTGGAGGATACAGTCCCAAGGTCATCCAAATTCAAAGTCTCTATGTGAAAATAATCAGCCACTAAAACAACACTGTGCAGACCCAGTGGTATATAGTAAAAGAAGGGTAGAAGGGTCCAGAATCTTCCACACAGTTTTGATCACCACCAATTGGAAATGAGACAACTAACATGGATAGACAGCCCTTGAAAGCGGAAAGATGAGGAGATTTCTTAGGAGAACAAATGTAAAATTCAGTTGTATCCTTTGGGACCACTTAAGGTACCATGCAGGCTGGCAGTGGGATGGATGAAGGTACCGTGGAAATTCAGTAGTCAGGATGAGGCTGGTGACTGTGGGGTTGACCACCAAGTACTGGGAAGCTAGGACTGGGATTCATGAGTTGTCTTTGAAAAATAAAAATACATAGAAGTGCAAATATTTGTTATAGTTTTAAAAATTGGCAGGGTTACTTGCTTGAAGAGGTAGGTGTTGGCATGGTGGGCTGTTGTGGATTTCAACCACATGAGGGCAAAAGCTATGTTTTTTCTATTCTTATTGTTCTGTTCTTGCATGGTATACTCCAGGCATCACACAAGGTCCAACAGACACTGGGGAGACCACCGTATAAGGCACAGCTAGAGAATTTATAGCCCTTAGAAAGCTCAGTAGTTTGTTTGTGATCCAATAAATATATACGTTTGAGTAGTTTTCAAAATATTGGAAACAGAATCCTTGGGTGGGATATTTATTATAGGCTGGTAGAATAAGCCAAGAGGTAGTTGAGAATGTTTCAGAAGCAATTCTTGACAGGGCGGGCAGATGACTTAATTGAGATATGGGTCTCAAGAATAAAGAAGTGTTCCAGCGACCCTGCCAGGCAGCCCCAGGCCTCATTACTCTCGTGAGTCTCCCCCTCTCCAGGGTCCTCTAGAGCAGTTTTTAGTTTATGCCTCCTGATTTTTTAGGATGCCAGTTTTTGAAAACACCATAAACACCAAGCAGTCACGATGTGCAGACCTCACAGGGCTGCAGTAGCTACCTGTGCCTGAAGTTTTGCCATCAGTTTGAGAAAGAGGTGTCCTAAGACCTAGAGTCCATGTGCATGGGCCTCTGACCAAGCCCCTGGAAACTCTCCGTAGTTTTAGAAAACGCTGGCTGATAGTGATGTCCGTGTTTCATGTGTTGTTATTAAATCCTACCATAACGTAGAATCTCCAGCACAGCCTCTCTCCATCCCCCAGAAACAGCTACTTGTGTATCCATGTGCTGATTCCTTGTCCCTGCATTTATTCACTTCCCTCTAGCCATGACATCTCCATGGGCCACGGGACTGCTGTGCCACTCGAGGACACTTAGCATCGGTGGAAGTCACCAATGACTTCCCCAGGCCAGGCACATTGTCCTGCTCTTTGGCATTTCCAAGGATTTTCATGGACAAGTGTTTCTGCTGGTTATCTCAGTTGTTCTCACATCAGCCTTAGGAAGTGAGCAGAGTCCCTACTTTCCTGGTCACTTTACAGATAAAGCGTTAGAGAATGAGGAGAAGGGTCCACTCCGAGGCCACGTGGAGGGAGAGTGACAGCCCACTTGAAACACTGCGGTCATCCTTTGGAGCCTGGGCTCTCCTCCTTGACTCCCACGGTCTCTTCCTGTGATACCCAGGTGCCCTGCAACCGTGTGGTATTAAATTAAGCATGGGAGTAGATGCACGAAATCCATTTACCTCTGAGATTCTCTGTGCAATTGGCCTATCATTTTATTGCACGTGAGACATTTTATCAAATGCTACAAAAATACCATCTGCTTTAAAAAAGCAATTCCATCTTGTTCTCTTGCACCTCTGACCTGTTATAAAGCCAGGCATTAGAAATGGTGTGTTATAAATGGTAGTTTCAGGAAGCATGGACCCCCAAATTCATTTCCATCAAACCTACTTAGGTGAAGTTCTGCTGAGGATCATTCACTATTTGTTCCAGAATTTAAAGGTCGGTGGTGATTTTCTGATTCCGTGCTCTGCTATGGGAATGCTATGCTTTCTTTCCTTCCCCTCTTTGTACCCTGTCCCTGCCTGAAACTGTCACACGTAGCACATGCAGCCTCCCCCCAGCACAGCTCTGAACTGAATTCTCCCAGATTCGGCTTCATAGTATTTCTCCTCTCTGTAAACCGATCCTTCCTTCCTCCTGCCTTTGTCTTTCTCCCTTCCCACTTTCTTTTCACTCTCCTTTCTCATTCCGTTTATTTCCGACCTCCCCCTCTTATTGCAAATATACTGTTTTGTTTCTCAGATTCCGAGATTCAAACTGAAGTTTTTATTTCCTCTATCTGGGAATACAAGCACAAAACATTCAGACCAGCACAGTGTTTTCATAGCCCATGTGAATGACAGTGCACTGCTTACAGACACAAGTGGCGCAGTTGTCAAGGAACCGATGTTTGCTTATAAACTTACTGTTACAATAGAAAACGAATAAATCAACATCATGTTCCTGATTGTTGCATTTTCCACCTGGGTACCTGCTTTATCAGATAGGTATAATAGTATGTGTTAGCCAGGGAGCTTCCACGAACTCAACAGCCGATGAGTGTCTGTGCATCTGGTGTTCATATTAAAGTTGTCGACAAATACCACTCGGTTTTGTAACTTAGGATCTCTCTGTCCATAATGGAGTTGAGAGAGTCTTCAAATATGATGAGTTCTAGTCTTCACTGAGATGGACTCTAGACACGAGGACGTCAGGGGAGATGGAGAAGCACACCTCTTTGTATGGTCAGTCCCGCACTGTGGCTGATTCAGGTTCCAAGTCAGCTGGGCTGGAGTGGCCACATCAGCTGTGTCCAGATGGCTGGTTATGTAACGTGGACTGTCTTTCCTTGCAGTGTGGCACCGTGGACCAGGGCCTGTATGTGAACCTGACAGAGAGGAACCTGCAGGATGCTCAGAAGTTCATTCTGATGCATGAGGTGGTGCAGCCAGTGACCACAGTGCCCACCTTCATGGAGGACAACAGCCGCTTCTCCCACGTGGTCGTCGACGTGGTGCAGGGCAGAGACACCCTCGTCCACATCCTCTACCTGGCCACAGGTAGGAGCTCTGTCCTCCTCTGAGCTGTTTTCTGTCATGTTCTATTTGATGTTTTAAACTCAAAATATTCAGCTGGACATGGTGGCATGGGTCTGTTGTCTCAGCTTCAAGAAGCTGAGGCCGGGGAACTACAAGTTCAAAGCCGCCTGGGCAACTTAGCAAGCCCTGGTAGCTCAGTGGTATCGTGTCCGGGGCTGGATCCCCAGGACTTAAAAAAAGTGGATATTCATTTCAGCTTGACATTTGGGGTCTGTCTCCGTCACCTGCTAACCAGCTTTACCTGTGCCTGAAGATAAAAACCAGCCTCATCCGTCCATGGTGCTTGCTTATCCTGGTCATGCCCCTGGGAGTCTTCATTTCACTCTCTTTTTGTCCTGTGTTAGTCATACTTTAATGGGCGAGAGAATGCCTCCTTTCTTAACTGTTGTTCCCCAACTATTCACTAGGCAGGACCTTTCTGGGCAAGGCCGTCGTCAGTCAGACGGTTTAACTCAGCAGAACGCTTTGTTGGAGAATATCGCTTGGTGAAATGCTCTCCTGGGGTTGCTGTGACGATATCTGATGGTCTCAGAAGCAGTGCTCACAGCAGACTCTTCCTGTAGATGCCACATACAAGCATTCGAAGAATATTTAAAAAAAAAATAAGTAGCACAATATTTTACAGCAAACATAGGTGACAGTGCTTATGAAATTACAAAAAGCTGCTAGTGCTGCTCAGATTTCACAGTAACCAGAGTGCAGAGGGCATGCTTCATCCAAGTCCATTCTGCAGGATGGCTCCAGCCCAGCCCAGCCCCAGGACCAGGTCTCAGCTCTGTCTTCATGCCCTCCAGATATAGCAACCTCATAGTGGGCTCTGCCCCTCCCGCCCCGCCTCACTCTTTTCCCCGTGTCCATATTAACTGACATTTTCTCACAAAGCACGATTACCTCTCTTCCTGTTGTTATGAGGACCATGTCTTATTTTGAGAGGATATCTCACTTTCTAATTATATATTTATCAGCTGGTTTATTTTATTCATCAAATCACTGAGGTTTATTGAACTTTCACTGTCTGTGGAGTTCACTGTCATGCTGAGGAGTGGAGTGTAAACAGACAGGCTCTGTCCTGTTCTCAGCTCGCATTCTGAGGGGCAGTCAGGCAGCCACGGGGCAGTGGGTGAAGCACGTCACCAGTGAGGCGCTGAGGAGCTGCTGCGGTGGAATTAGCAGAGTGGTGGTGAGCACCCCAGAGGGCCCCGCCTGACTCTCAGACCCTGCCTCGGCCCAGAGGTGGCATTTAAGTGAGTACTGGGGAGGAGCAGCCAGCCCTGCAGAGGGAAACAGAGAACCCTGCAGATGCAGCGACTGTCCGCAGTGGGCAGGGCCACCGAGGGATCACAACAGAAGAGGACAGACGTGACCTCTGCCTGGCCCTGGGTGGTTGGATAGAGGCCACTGCTGCTTGTAGGGGCCACTTGAGGAGGAGTGGGGAGGGAGGGGGAAGAGAAGAAGTCAGTTGAGACAGTTGCTAGGAACAGCTCTCTGCAGAAGTGGCTTGGTGATGGGGAGAGAATGAGGAGGTCTCTAGAGGAGACGGGAGGCCAGAGAGGGGACTTTAGATTATTTTTGTATTATGGAAAGGAAAGGAATGAGGAGTGTACTGTTTGTCTTGTTCACCAGGCTGCAGACAGGGATTGTGTATCTTTTTCTGCCATTTTAATTTTTAATGTGACACAGGCAGGGTGCCTAACGTGGTAGATTTCTGGTAGGAATGACAGGACATTTCCAAAAGTGTCCCTAGTTTTTTAGCAGATATCTTCAGGTTAATGCCATGGAGAGTAGGGTCACCTCCATGGATTCTGGAGGCCGTGGAGGCCTTCATCCATGGCTGGGCTGCGGTGTGCTGGGGCTGGGGCTGGGGTCGGGCTGCAGAATACCTAAGCTGGTCAGCTCAGAGCAGCCTGGGGTCTCCACCCCAGCCTTTTGACCTGTTCCCTGTCTGTGGGTGCAAATGCTGTTGCTGATTTGAAGTTAGCTCGGGTGATTTCTGATGAAACGCTTTAATTTTGATGGGTGCTGAGTGGGCCCTGGTTGCTGATTGTAACAGAACACCATGGTCAGGGGGGCTTAGAAACAGATTTGGTTCTCAGTGTTCTGGAGGCCTGCACGATGGCTGCTGGGATGTTTCCTGGTCAGGACCTCTGGCTGGCTTGGCACGGCTGCTGTTCCTTGTGCCCTCACAGGAGAACAGGGACCTTCTCTCTGTGTGTCTTCTCATAAGGGCACCAGTGTCATCATAAGGCCTCTACCCTCATCACCCAGTTCCTCCACTCATGACTTAAAAAAGTGAAATGGAACCAATTGTTCCCATGTTACAGACACAGTGCCATCGGTTTCACCTTGGGAATACAGGCAGGTTGGGTGACAAGTGCCAAGTGTGTATTCCCACTTCGACTTTACATGAAAGAATGCACCTGCTGGTAGCCATGTGGGGTGTGGGTTATCTTGTTTGTGAGCAGCATCTAAAGATCAAAGTGAGACAGAATGTTGCCACTGTAGTTCTCTGTGGCCCCTCAAGTCCTGCTGCCTTTCCTAGGCATGTTCAGCTCCATGTCTCACTGATCCATGTCTCTGCCCTTGGCAACCCAGCCAGGCGAGACTGTGCAGAGAGTTCGAAAGTCATTTCTTTGAAACTCTTCTCAGTTAAAGCAGGAGGGCAAATGCCGAGTCTAACTCCATCAGGATATGTCTGACTGGGGTTCTCTAAGTGATGAGGCTAAGTGCAGACAGTTTCTGAGCTCCTCTATAAGGACAGAATGAGACCAGGGTTCACCAGTCTCTCCTTAGCTGGCTACAGAACACATCTCCTGTGGCTCTTCTCCTGCCTCCGAGATGGTCCTTGGCTGCCTCACTTATCTCCTGGCCTCCTGTATGGTCTTGGCTGGGTGGTCTCTGCCCATGGCCACAGCCAAGACTATTTCATGCTTCCTCCCGGCAAGCACATTCAGACTCACCTAGTTCCTACTCTCCCTCCTCTGGTACCACAGAGCACTTTTATTTTCATATAGTTCATGTAACACTTTTATTTTCATTGAACCTCAGTTCTAGTGTGTCTAAATTACTTAATTTTAATTTATTTTTAATCAAGTAATCATTATTAAGTTAATGATTGAATTAACCTTCAACTGACTATAACCTTGAAATGTCCTACCCTTAGATTGTGACAATGATTGCACAACTCAGAATGCGCTGCAGATCAATGGGTGGATTTTTTTGTATGCATATTTTACCTCAATAAAGATAGTTTAAAGGAATATGATCCATCCTTGTGACTTACTGAATCATTTATTATAAAATATTTTGTCTTAATTAGAGGATTGCTCATAAATTTTACATTAAAATGCTGAGCACAGGGGCATATGCCTGTAAACCATACAATTGGGAGACCAAGTCAAGAGGGTCACAATTCAGGAATAATGGGCAACTTAATAACACCCATCTCAAAAAATAAAAAGGGCTGGGGGCGTAGCTCAGGGGAAGAGCTCTGGCATGCATAAGGCCCTAGGTTCTATCCCTAGTGCAGGAAAAAGAAAAAAGGAAATGAGGAAAGAAGGAGGGAAGAAATATAAGAAGGAAAGAAGGCAGGGGTGTGCACACACTTTTCAATGTTTTTCTTTCTGAACTTGTGAAATTCACATAGAAAATTAGCAAGTAATAGATGGTGCAAAAGGGAATGGTCCACACAGGCTCACTGCCTTTACCTGATTGATTTGAACTGGAGCCTGCACTGAGTTTATCACCTGTGTGTCCTTCTTGTCCCCCACCCCAAGGTGGATTGCACCCTGCGTCGAAGTATTTATAAAAATTTCAGAAAATACAGTAGAACAAAGAGAGCATGAGTAGTCTCTTTCAGGCTGCAGAAAAGTAAATCAAACAGAATAGTTGAAAGTAGGAACAAAAGTACATTTGCTACAAATTTACTTTGCCTTAATAAAAGTAGAGAATATTAATAAAATAAGTAACATTGAAATGATGAATGATGAAAATGAGATGAAAAGAGGTTCTCCTAGAGACAAAGTAAAGAGCAAAATAAGTCTATTCTATTGCAAAGGTAATGATGACATTTGAAGCTTTATGTGAACAGAAGCAAAGCTAAAGGTTAATTAGTAACAGTAAATGTTTGCCATGGCTGCAGGGACAAATGCAGAGATAAGATAGAGTCTAGATACAAAGGACCCAGGAAGACAAGGCAACAGTATAGCCACTGGTGTCTTTGAATCAGAGAACTCCATGGTAAGCTGTCCCTGAAAATATCATTAAGGAAAATTCCTGAAAAAAAATGGAAGACATGAATCTGAAGATATCAAAACACTCCACATTTGAGCAATATTGATTAAGAATAAAGAAACACTACCTGGGCATTGTGGCACATGCCTGTAATCCCAGCAGCCCAGGAGGCTGAGGCAGGAAGATCACAAGTTCAAAGCCAGACCCAGACAACTTAGCAAGGCCGTAAACAACTTAGTGAGACTTTGTCTTAAAATAAAAAATAATAATAATAAAAAGACTGGGGATGTGGTGCAGTTGTTAAGTGTCTGTGATTTTAATTCCTGGTACCTAATAAAAAATAAATAAATAGATAAATAGTAGACATAGCCAGGTTAAATTTTTAAATTCCAAAGGTAAATAAAGAAAGCACTACAGGGAAAAATAACAACAAATGGATAAAAGTCTGGTGTTCTCAGAATACTCTGCAGCTGCCTGAGTCTGTGAATAAGGCCCCCCCAAATCTGAGAAAAATAAAATGTGATTCAAAATTATTAAACTCACCGAGGAATTTTTAAAAAAGACAGACATTATGCAAAAAGAAAATCTCAATCAATAGGCTTCTAACAATCTCTTTTCTAAACATGAAATAGTACTAATTACTGGCTAAATTGAGTCCAACAAATTTGGAGAAGATTTGAGAAACAAAGGAAAATTAAAAAAAAAAAAATTTAACACCAGATTTCAAGCTG